TATCCCGCCGCCTCCTCCCGCCGGCTCATGGGCCGGCACCGGGCCACCACCCGGAGCGCCTCGCAGCCGCTGCGGGGCTTGCCGGCCATGGCGGCGGCGGGCGGGGCCGGCGGCGCAGCGGGGCTGGGGGGCTCAGCCGCGCCGCCCCCGCGGCATCCCCGGGGCCGGGGCCGGGGCCGGGGCCGGGGCGGAGCGGGCGCGGGGGGCGCGGGGGGCCGGGGCGCGGCGGGGCGGCCCCGCCGGGCGCTCGCTCATGGCAGCGCGGCCGCTGCGCCCCGCCCGGTGCGGGGATGGGGCGGGCGGGGCGGGCCGGGGCGGGGCGCGGCCGGGCGGCGATTGGTGAGCGCCCCGCACGCACCCGCGCACCCGCACCCCGGCGCGCACACCGCGCCCCGCGCGCGCGCCCCCGAGCGCGGCCCCGCACCCCGCGCCCCCGAGCGCGGCCCCGAGCGCGCCCCGCACGCTCCCCCGCGCCTCCGCACCCGGGAGCGCTCCGACCCCCCCCCGGCTCCCCCCGGGCACGCCGGGAGCTGTAGTGCGGCCTTTGTGCTGCGCCCGGGGGCGGCGGCGGCGCCGGGATGCGGGGCTGGGATGCGGGGCTGGGATGCGGGATGAAGGATGCAGGACTGGGACGCAGGGCTGGGATGTGGGATGCAGGATGCGGGGCTGGGCACGGAATGAAGGATGCAGGACTGGGATGCTGCACTGGAATACAGTATTAGGATATGGGATTGGGATGTGGAATGAAGGATACAGGGCTGAGATGCAGGGCTGGGATGGAGGATGCAGAGCACAGGATTGGGATGCAGGGCAAGGAATGCAGGGTTGGAATGTGGGATAAAAAAAAAGGCAGGGTTGGGATGCAAAACTGGAATGCAGGATGCAGGATTGGGATGTGGGATGAAGAATGAAGGACTGGAATGCAGGGCTGGGATGCTGCACTGGAAGGCAGGATGTGGGTTGCAGAACGAAGGATGCGGGATTTGTATGCAGGATGCAGAGTACTTTTGTGGGATTGGGATGGAGGGAGCAGGGTCCATGATGGGGGATATGGGACTGGGATTGGGATGCAGGGAGCAGGGTCCACGATGGGGGATGGACTGGGATGCAGGGAGCAGGGTTCATGATGGGGGCTGTGGGTGCAGGATGGAGGGCAGGAGGGACTGGAGAGGCAGGGGTTGCCCAGCCCCAGCACTCGAGCAGGGACAAAACCCTTTCCTTGGGCCTGGCAGCAGGCACAGGGATAACTCCCCATCCCATCCCATCCCATCCCATCCCATCCCATCCCATCCCATCCCA